GCCTCGGTTTTTTGCGTATCCAGTTACACCTCCATTTGCTATGCGCAAGTTTTTAATTTCAGCAGGGCGGATACAGAGCATGATCATTACATCAGCTAGGGCCTGTTTATCGGGTGTGTTAGACACAACATATAAATCTAGCCGTTCCTTAACTGATTCTAACGAGAAGTGGTCCGGATAATGAAGTCCTTCATTTTTACGTTGCTCAGTACGCTCCTGTTGGATTTTATTAGATGCTCTGGTTATCTCTGGAATCTTGGTAGTAGAGATTATTTTTTCTGGAGCATTGAGGGTTCGCAATTCTCTTCGAAGCCTGGAGAGACGTGATGAGGCAATAATAGGATCAGAGGCGGTTTCGGCTAAGGTTCTAGATATCGCTTTTACATTTCTTTCACTAAGATTATCCCGAACAATACGCTGAGCCATTTCTCTAATAGTCTCGCCTTCTGGGGCGTTCTCAGATACTAGGCTTATATTCACTTCGGCTTCTAATCCTCTAGGATCGGTACTTGACTTATGTACCGCTCAATTCTCTGGTCAGGAATCAATGCGAATGCCTGTCCTTTGCTAAATTTATACCCTTTTTGAAGACGATTACGAGCCTGGCACCTTTTCTCTCTATCATCTCCCAAGAGGTCACGCATTTCTAGCGCATACTGACTGAGCTCTTCGATACTCATCTCATTGGTGAATTGATGGTCTGTAACGAACTTGGTTGTAATTGCGGACATTATGTGGTATGTAGATTATATGTAGTAATTAGATAATCTGTGGTATTCAGATTATATTATGTGGGAAAAGTTCAATTCGAAAAATATTCCGTAATTTCACTACCCCATGGTCGGTAAAAACTATCGAAGGGTTAGAGAAAGGGAAAAAATATATAACTTATGGGAGGTCTCTTTGAGCCACCTGCTCCGGCCGGGATATCTTTTATATATATTTGAAAATTGTGGGTAGATATGATAAAAAAAAATATAATAATAATTTGGAATAATATATCGCTTAGTTGTAAAGAACGAAAGTCCCATCCTTACTAATATTAATTAACCCACTCTTATTCACTCTTTACCAAAGCATACCATTCTCCTGGAGTATGCTTACCGTTTTTTTCCATTTCTCATCGGTATCAAGCCAGGAGGATGTAACTCCATCATCCTCAAGACTACGACGAATTATTTCTTCTCCTATTAATCTTTCCTGTACTTTCATGTCCATATATTCTTTGAGATCTTCTTCAGTCTCTATAGCCCAACCACATATTCGTGAATCAGTTTCCATCCTATCACAGAATGCAATAGAATCGAGTCGATCTTTTTCGGTGATGGTCACGAAGGCATCTGGATTCTCGNTCCTATTAATCTTTCCCGTACTTTCATGTCCATATATTCTTTGGGATCTTCTTCAGTCTCTATAGCCCAATCACATATTCGTGAATCAGTTTCCATCCTATCACGGAATGCAATGGAATCGAGTCGGTTTTTTTCAGTGATAGTCACGAAGGCATCTGGATTCTCGCCGAGTTCGACTGCCTTTTTTCTGAGACGCTCTTCGCGCTGGGCTCTTGATAGAAGTATGGCAGACGATACTTCATTGATAGGCTTAGAAAAATCGGGAAGCTTGCTAGTTGTTTCTTTAGGGGGCGTATTCGTGTTTTTACTTATGGGTTCGTTAGTTTTGGAAAGCTTATTAACTTCAGACTTATCGATTACTGGCTCAGGTGGTTTAGAAGTCTCGGATGTCCTAGATGTTGAAGCACCTGGGAGTTCAGCTTGTTCTGCCTCATAGTCAAAGAGAACTTGGGTCGAATTGTCCTGTTTATCCGCTTTCTTACCCCTTGGAGGGAGATTCTCTTCCGGTTGAGGTGGGGTTATTTTCTGGGGAATAGTTGGTCCCTCTAGGACCGTTTCTGGCACATTGAATATAGGTATGTCTGTAATCTCATTTTCGGGCAAGTCGTCTTGAGATATATCAGAAAATTCTTCCATATCACCTAAGCCAGATTCATAGAGCTTGGCTACGATCTTGGGGCGGTCAAGTATATACTGATATACTCTTACTCCATTATCTCGTGAACGTGTCTGATCAATACTAATTAGTAAAAATTTAGTTCTAGCATCCTTCTTAGCCAATGGCTTCTCTCCATTACACTCACACCATTCAAGATAATCCTGGTATACCTTTTTACAACTAAACCTATTAATACAATTTTCAGGCCAAGGTAGAATATAATCAATTATAAATCGAATAGGATTAGGAAGTTGTCTTCGCATTGTTTCTATCTTCATTTTAGTTGTAGGAATTTTTCCTGGACTCCAATTTGTTAAGTTACGGCTAAGAAGGTATGACATTACTACTCCTGGTACATCAGGATGGTCTAGAATTTCACCTAGCCGGTCAAAATATGGTATATTGCCTCTACAGCACGCAGAGACATCAAAACAGACTATATGAGAATCCCCTATATCTATTTTGAGCGGGCATCCTGATTGCTTGTAACCATATACCCAGCATAATCATTTATTCGTACAGTTTCAAGGCCTTTGCGTTCTATAGCTACCATTCGTTCTGTTATGAGTGATTTGAGATGCCCGTTAAATCTATGCCATTCCCCACTAGACATCCCAGTCTCATTCATAACAATAAGCTTTCGAGTTTGGATGGCACTATTAAAATGCCCAAGAATTTTCTCCAGATCTGACGTTGCAAAATGGAGGTGTGACCCCAAGACTTTGTCACCAATAAAATCAGTGATGATATTTTTCCCGCACTGTTGTAATGTAAATTTAAGAACTAAGATAGTTCGGGGTTTCTTCTCTGGCTTCTGAACTAAATATGCCCACCAGTTCCAGATATATTCGTTAAGCCTTTCATCTTCACTACAGATTACGTTCTTCACATGCCAGAGAATCGGATCCATAATTTCTTTATTAATTTCTGGCGCTGGCTTAGCTAAAATCCTATGAAAAGATTAAAGAACTTTGTATCATAAGCTGGAGTATTTAGCGGATATGGAAGAAAATTAATATTGTGGTAAAGAATTAGACCTTTGGTAACCGCCCGATCTATTAAATTAATTAACTTCACCGGCTCTCCTCCTAGCTCAACTAAGTTAACTTCATACTTGGCAAGATCTAGTTTTGGCGCCATATCAAAATAAAGCCCACCATTTGTATTTTCTGTCTTGAGTACCCATAATCTTGATGTCGTTTGAATACAGGTGACTGTTGCCTGAATTGCGTCATAAATCTCATTACGAGAAAATTTTCGCCCAGAGGTACACATATCAATTAAATCTTCCCATACAAAACGGTCATTTGGGTCAGAAATTCTGGATTGGTCTAATTTTATAGGACTCGGAAGCTTTTGTTCCTGTTGCAAAGCAGTTTCACTAATGGTAAGCTTTACTGAGGGATTTCTAGTTCCAGGTTCTCTTTCGTGGTTTGCACGATGACAATAAAATCTATATGTTTTTTTATTTCGTAAGATATATCCGTTATCACTTTCATGTTCCCGATCACATATTGGGCAGTGTGATGGGGAGTTGCGAGTTAATGGAAACAAGTCTGGAATGTTATCTGAGGGGAATGAGAGAGTATACCCTTCGATACCGTTTCCCCCACGTAACGATTCCACAAAATCGAAATCAGCCTGGGTAATTTCATTATTTGTATCATTATTTTTCTTCAAACATCTGTTAACTTCTGACTCTGGAACAACCAAAAGAGGACTGTCAATGACTCTAGAATCATCATTGGGTGGACGAATCATAAAGTCAAAGATGGATCCATCTTTTGGACGAATAACTTTTTTTATACGAACATGTTTGTCTGTTTTTTTATCGTATTTGGGCGTTCCAAGTATTCGTAAGGAGAAAGATTTGAAAGAACCTATATTTGTTATATTATCAATTATCCCTTTTTTCTGTAATCCTGCTGGAAGTTTCTTGCGAACAAGTTTGGTGAAAGCTGAAACCTTAGCGATATTTGGAAGTCTCATGCCGAAAGTTAAGACATGTAGAGATATTTTTTTCTCATCACTACTTTCAGCAATAGACATAGTTTCTTTATCCCATTCTGGGAATATTTCTAGGCAAGTATCTCTAAAGGCGCGACAAAGTAAATTTTTTGCCTGACCGCTTGA